GGGCGGGTGACTAGTCTAGTGTGGCAGGGGGAGCCAGTGTTGCAGGGCTGCCTCCTGGTTCCTTGCGTTGAAGGTTTCTCTTTCTTTACAATATTTAACTTGCTCATAGTCTTATTTCTTTCCTCCCCTGCCTACCTCCTCGTACTGAGTCGGACTAGGAGTATCGACCCATCGGCCGGTCTCCTCTGGCAACCTGAGAGTTAGGAGCAAATAAAATTTGAAAGCACCTACTAACAGCTGTTTGGTACTAGGACTGTTAAGGGTTTCACTCCAATGATATAAAGATATCCTGGGCTTTGTGTAGAAAAAATACACCTAAAACTTGAGGCACCGGATGTAAATTTTTCAGTTTTTCAGAACTATTTTTTACTCTTAACCTGACTCATCCTTTTTCTAGCCTCTGCCCTTTGAGATAAATGAGGTGGGGAGGTGAGGACAGTGGACTAAAAACACTTGAAAAAATTGGACCTTGAGCCTGAAATGTTCAGGACTACAACTTTCAGTTCAAGTAGTATTCACTCCAGTTCAATTTAAAAATGTTTTTTGAGCCTCCACTATGTTCAAGTTACTGTATAAAAAAGAGTATGCAAGCTTCCTATCTACAGGCATGAAGCAAGGCTTTTCTTAGCTTTATCATCTAACCAGAAGTTTTCACAACCAGAAGTTTTCACATATTATAGGTTCATTTATAGTGCATTTATGAAAGCATGTGGCAAACTGATGGGTGATACTAACACTTTCCATAAATAAACTCATTTAATCTTGACAACAGTCCTATGAGTTAGATGCTATTATCATCCCCATCTTACAGTCCAGGAAAATGAGGCCTAGGAAAGTTAAGTATCTCGCCCAGGTCATCTATTAGTGGCAGAGCTAGTCATCTGGCTCTAGAGTCTGTATTCTTAAGTACTACATTATAGATAAATAAATATAAATCCATTCTGAAAAGAGGAAGCTGAGTACACCAGAGCTGGGGCATACAGCAGCATCTCAGCTTTGTCAAGTGTAAGCCTAAGAGCCGCATGTGCATGTTCAGCACTACCAATGCTCTGTAGAGCAAAAGTTTCAGCTTCTTCATATGATCAGCCAATCCAAAGTCGCTGTTTATACAAAATAACATTGTGATATAATGAAAAGAACATACAATTTGGGTTTGATCGCCATTTCTTCAAGGCTGAGTGATTCGTAACTGGTCATTTCCATTTTCTGAGCCTCGCTGTCTCTGCTATAAAGTAGGAATCATCATTATCATAATATCGCCCCTCACCGGTTCAGTAGGTTATAAAGCTTACACAAATATTACGTTGCTGATCTTACTTTGAGTCATTTTACTTTTTCATGGTTCTGGGCTATATGTAAGAATCTCAGTTAACTTTTCTTGGTTACTCTAATTTAAATTAATTTTTATTAATGAATTAATTAAATGCTGGAATCACTCAAACCAAGAAAAGCTAATGAGCTTGCTAACTCTTGGGAAGGAAAGTTCTTTCATAGAGTTTAAATTGAAAAAGAAATTAAATGATTTAGGACAGCTCCCTATCTCCATCTCACTGTCTTCTAGACATATTTTGGACGAAGAAAGTAGAGAATGTTACCCAACTTTTAGCAGCACCAAGGTGTACCAGCTTCTTGAAATATAAAGGTGCCTGTCAACACTGGTTATTTTCTTAAAGTTTCTGCCATCTGATTTTAGATCCTGCAAGACATAAATTAAGAATCCTGAAAATGTTACAACAGTCGGGCTGTTCAGTGGGAGATAAAATGTCAGTAGCAGAGTGTGGGTTGGGATGTCACATGGAGTGGCTGATCAGAGGAAGATTTTGTCTCATTTCCCAAATAAAACGCAGCACGCTCTGACAGCACTAAAGCATCCTATTCTCATTCTAATTTGCATATCCCACCCAACATCAAAGTATGATCTTCCTTTATATTATGATCCCTTCAGGTCGTTCTCTAGATCCAATTCTGAGGGGAGGTGACCACAATTCACAATGTAGAGAGAAGCCTGTCAATCACCATATGATTTGCGTGAGTGCAATGCCAGCCTGGCTCCAGTGAATGCAAATGCTGCCGCTTCTCCATTTACAAGGGCTGTGTGCTAATTGGCCTCTGGCAGGCCTCTCTGTGAAAGCACTTGGGAACGGATGGAAAACCAATATAAATTTTAAATCGGGTTGTACTGAGCATAGATAGGAACTGTCTTCTTGTGAAATAGTTCTTAATTTTTTTTAATTCTCCAATTTTCTCAGAATTGACTTAAAATTTGATGCTTGATGGGTCTGACAGAGTTAAAGTGTGTAGGCCCTGTAGCAGCTGAGATCATCGTGGGCTCGTCTTTCTGATTCCTTCAATCTTTCCTTGTCCTTAGAAGGGCCCATATATCACCTGGCTTTGGTGTCACAAGTTGGAAGCAGAAATATGAGTGAGCTAATTTAATGCAGCAGACATCTCCAAGAAGCCCTGCTTTCTCCCTCTTTACTGTTTCTTTGCTGCCAAATCTGCAAACTGAAGAATTTTCCTAACCTAGGGAAACACATTTGTGCATGTGGATTCTGCCCATTCTAAGGTAGTTTCTGTGATGGAAAACAGACTATAATAGTGTCATGTTACAGTGCAGTGTTACCTTTTTTATTGTGGTTTGTGTCTACCTTCTCTTTGGCAAAAAGGAAGGTGAGGGAAAACATTTTTCCCAACGTTTAAAACTGTTGGTAATATGCCCAAGAAAAGCACCCCCAATAAAATATCTTAAAACAAAATAGAGAGCTACACCCGCTTTATGATGCTCAGAACAATGGCACCTGTCGTGCAATTATTTGGTAATTTTCATGTGGCAGAATTAGAAATCTCAGCTGTCGTTTCTTAGTCTTTTTGTCAAACAAAGCCCTATCTGGTGTGGTAATATTAAGTTTGTCTTTGAACCTGCAATCTAGATTCTATCAATATTATTAAAAAACAATTAAACCTTTGTTACAGAATGATATTTTCATAGCTAAGGAGCTGAGGATCTGAATGGTGCTTTTCTCAGCCAAAGAAGGGGAAATGGCAGCTGGGGCTGCAGTTTCTGGGACAGCTTTATTGCAGTATGAGATGAACATATTGACATCAACTCCCTCCTCTGACCTTCTCATTGTTGAATGTCAACATGGTGTGTGAAGCTGGCTTACTTTTGCTGCCTGCTTTCCGTTATGTGCAAGTCAAAAGCACATCCACAGAGATTATGGATTTAACTCAATTTTGACACATCACATTTCGTTTCACTGGTTGAAAAAGGCTGAGGTATGAGTCATAATTTATTTTAAATCGTTTCAAATACACTTAATTATGCTTAGAAAAAAGTTGAGATCCAGTACAAGAGTCACGCAATTTTACATTAACATCATCTATAAAAATATAGTATATGCAATGTTGTCCTATATATAGAATGAAAGATTAGCAGTGGCCTTCCCCAGTTTGGGGTCGTCAGAAGGTGGTTCCTCATTACTGGAGATTCTCACTCTCTGCATCACGTGTCTGCAGTACTGGAATATTGTACAATGAGCATGTATGACTTTTGAATCCATATACTCATAACTCAAATAATACAAAATCCCCAAAAGGCATAAAAATTAGAATTGTAAAAATGTTTCCACATTCTTATACCCCAAATTACCAATTAATTTAGAATATTCTTTAATCACCCCCTGTGCAGATGTGAGAAGCCTACTGAGTGATGGTCTCCAAGTGTTAAGCCACAGGAAGGGTCAATCAAGGGGCCCTCTGTCTATCAGAGTTAACACTCTAGTGGTTCTTCACCAGGCTGCTGCAGATATGAATGAACGAACAAATGACAAAGGAACATCATCTCTACACATTGCTGTGAGAAATAAACAACCATCCTGGGTAATTATTTACATGATTATCCTGATTCCATGAAAATTGGTTATCAAGTGAAAAAGGAGATTAAGAACCATACACTTGGGTTTCAAGAAGGTGAATGTTGATGGATCATTTTCTTTTGAGGTAGTAGAACTTTTTGTCTTTGGAAAAACCTATTAAACTCTATTCAGTATCAATACATAGGCTGCTCCATAGCCATTGAAAGTCCATATGTCCAGATCCTAGCCCTGCATTAGATTTTTGAGCTTAGACTAGTTTCTTAACCTCTCTCGGCCGCAGAATAAAATTTTCAACTTAACAGGGTGATTGTAAGGATTAAATAAGATATGTACTGAAAAGATAAAAGAAAATACATAAATATATGAACATCTATCTGGAAATAATATTCAGTAAAAATAGTAAAACTGGATCTATAATCACTGATAGAAACCAAAAATTAATTTAGCATGATATAAAGCATTAGAATCGTAAGTCGATTCGATTTTCTGTTTGTGTAATGTCACCTGGTTATAATAAACATAGTAACCTAAAAATCTTTTCATTTCCTCAGTCCCCACCCCTTTGCCCCTTTTGCTCTTCCCTCTCCCTGTCTCCTTTCCCCAAGAGTAGTAAATATTAGTTTGGACCAGAGCTGTCACGTAGAAGCCAGCATGAAAACAGCTCCCAAAGACATGGAATCTATCTTTAAAGCTCAAAGGCCAAAGAGAGGAGTCGAGTGTCCCATTAAAATAATAGCCAACATTTTAGCATCCATAGTAA